GTATTTTACAGTCTTTATTTTACAGTTAAAATATAAGTTTATCAAATAAAGTCTAATGTTACAACTAATCATGGATCGCTTTAAGAAAAGGTCTTTGTTTATTGAAACAATATTATTTGAACTCTGACTCTTCATCTCTGATAGTGACTCAAAATAATCTAAAGAAACACCTGATTCTTCTCTACGGTCTTTGTTATTGCAGACACTCCCCTTTGACATCACTTCCTGTTACGTCACACGCAAATATCTCAACAACCGTTCGTCTCAGTCATGAAAGGTTTTTTTTGCAATATATTATTAATGTTGTCTTTCCAAAAATACAGTCATATTTATTACCAAAATTTAATGTCACAGGCACTTTAACAGAGCCGTGTTTAAAAAAAATCATCTGCAAACTTAAAATGATTAAAGAGATGATTTAAAACCACATGAGTGATCTGATCAAGCTAATGCTGCTAAAGGTGGTTTTACAAACTAAATTCTGATATTGACTCATTTTCACTCCCTGCTTTATTATTAAATTGTGTTGTTTTTTGTTTGTTTTGTTTTCTCCCCCTCTCCTCACTCAGTTATATATTTCTGAGACGGCGCATGAGAAGGTTCGAGGGATGTTGGGCTCCTGCGTTCAGCTCATGGTGGTTCTGGGCATCATGGGAGTTTACCTGGCAGGTAGGAGGCCTCAGAGTCATGAAACGGTGCGAGCAGCTGATCTGTGAATCATTAAGAGTTTTACATGATGAAACTTAAACATCGGATCAATAAAAGCGCTGCCGCCTTTATCACTGGGAGACAGCACTGTGTGATTTGAGGTGTTTTATCGGAGGTTGTTTCACTGCTCTGTGACTCCTAATCTCGTGTTGTAAAGACGAGGCGGCCAGCCGGCTGTCAGGTGATCTGATTGTCTTCAGATGTGATCAGATTCCTCTTCAACAGCAGCCTCTACTGTTCGGCTTTGTGTGAAAATAACTTCGTCTCGCTGATCTCGTTTGCTGCATGCCGTTCACGTTTTCCCAATAAAAGCTGGAGTGTCCTGTGAGGCGGGTGGTCTCATGTTGCTCTGACTCGTCTGGTGCTCAGTTTGTGCACGTTTGTCACCTTTTGTTTCCCTATTATCACGTCCGTCAGCTAATTCAGCTGTTATAAGGTGCAAAGTGTGAAGAAAGGCTAGGAGTTAGCTCAGATCTGTTCTTCAGACCTCACCAAGGCTTCGTTTTGTGACTCGTAAAACATTCACACTGTTGAGAGGATCCGTTTTTCCTCCAAATGTTTTTTTTGTCATGTGTTTGGTTCCACACGTTTTGTTCTGTTTCCACAATTTTATACATAAAACTTTCAGGTCGTTCCAGCTTTTTTGTGATATTTAGCTCTTTTGGCCGTTATTGTTCTCATTGAGAATGAATAGAGCTGTCTTCAACATCCTGAAAACCTTTCAAAATGTTTAAATCTTTCCTGCATTTCACTCTTTTTGTGCTTATTATAGCATGCTTCAGCTTCTTTTTCTTTCTTTTACTAATTTAAATTGGTTTTCAAAATTATCTGCTACTAATGTGATCTTTAAATGCTTTTTCAGCTGTTTTCTGCAATTGAAGCTACATGTTTGGTATTTTCAGCTAATTTTTGCTTGTTTTAGCTTCTTTTTTAAAAACTAATTTTAGCTTATTTTCATCTATCTCTGTTCTTTTCAGCTATACTGCTAATTTGATCATTTTATGCTTCTTTCAGCTGTTTTCTGCCATTTTAGCAATATTTTTTCCTATTTTCAGCAAAAAAAATTATTTTTTCAGCTTATTTAAACAAATTTTAGCTTGTTTTCAGCTACCTCTGTTCTTTTGGCTATTCTGATCGTTTGATTTTTTTTATACTTAAACGTTTTTGTGGTAATTGTACCATCCCTCAGCTTCCTTTTTTACTGATTTTAATTTTTTCAGCTTTTTCTGCTTTCTGTTCTTTTCAGCTATTCTGATATTTTGATTTATTTTATGCTTTTTCAGCTGTTTTCTGCAATTTAAGCTACATTTGACTTATTTTCAGCTAATTCGTTTATCGTCTTTTTTGTACTAATTTTAGCTTATTTTCAGCTATCTCTCTGTTCTTTTCAGCTATTCTGCTAATTTGATCTTTTTATTTTTTCAGCTGTTTTCTGCAGTTTAAGCTACTTTTTTGGCTAATTTTGCGTTTTTCAGCTAAATTCACATTTCTGTGATCGTTTTAACTACTAATTATTTAATTCAGTGAATGTTCTCTTTCTGCTTCTTTGTGTTAGATTCAGATTTTTCAGCTACTTGTTTTGCTAATTTCAGCTTTTTTTGATTATTATACAACAAATTGTAAATTTTTTGTAGATTTTTTTAAACAAAAATCTTTGAGCATTTAACATTCACACTACATTTTTGCAAAGGATGCAGATTCTCTTATGTAGATTATCTGAACACGAGTCATTGTTGTTTAGCTGTGTGTGGGTTTTTGCAAACGATGTCGTGTTTTTTTTAAGTTTGCTGCAGTGTGACGTGACAGGAGTTGGAGTTATCAGACGTCAAACGTCTTTCCTCGGCTGCCATGATTGGTGGAAAAGACCAGCCTGATAAACTTCCAGACTGATTGAATCAAAGGTGCAGCAGGAGAATCGAGTCCACAAAAAAGCAAACAAAAGAAAACAACAAGAGAACTTGTGACGCAACAACAATCTGACAAAAAGCCAAGAAAACAAGGAAGCGTTTGAACGGAGGAATGTTTTATAAATGGTTTTATTGTGAAATGATCGACACACAGTCCTTACCTGTAACTCAAACCGTTCAAAACTGCTGAAACTAAGATTTGAACAGAAACAAACCTCGGTGCACAAACAGGTGTGTTTATTTCCTCTGGATGATGGTGAGACTCGTGTAAATCCTCGTGTCTCTGCACGTCCTGCAGGTCTCTTCATGGACTGGCGCTGGCTGGCGATCTGCTGCTCCCTCCCCCCGACGCTGCTCCTGGTCTCCATGTGCTTCATGCCGGAAACGCCTCGGTACCTGCTGTCCAGGAGGAAGAGGCGGGAGGCCGAGGAGGTGCTGCGCTTCCTGCGCGGGCCCGACGCCCCCGTGGAGTGGGAGTGCGCTCGCATCGAGGAGGCCTTCGAGGAGCAGGTGAGCCGGAGCCGCCCGAGTTCATTTTCTTTTAGATGTTTCGCTCCCTGCGTGTTCAAACCTCTGGACCGTTTCCCTCTCAGGGCTCCAGCTTCCACCTGTTTGACCTGAAGGACCCCAGCATCTACAAGCCCCTGATGATCGGCGTCATGCTGATGGCCTTTCAGCAGATGACCGGGATCAACGCCATCATGTTCTACGCTGAGAACATCTTCAAACAGGCAAACTTTCAGGTACCACACACGGGTTTCCTCTAAACACCGCCACAATAAAGGTGAACAATCTCCTCTCTGTTTCACCTGTTCCCCCATGTTTGTCTTGTATGTCTTCTTGAATGGGTGTTTCTTAACTGGCCCCTCCCCACTTCCCTGAATGTACAGCACCTTGTGAATTTATTTCTGTGAAAGGCGCTGTATAAATAAAACTTTACTTTACTTAGCAAAATAACTTGTGAAGCAGAGGACAGATTTTTATTTAAACCTTTGGAACTCAGCCGAATTCAAGATGGCTGCCATGGCCTAGACATTTCAGGCGACACAAAAATGGCTAAAATTTGTTTAATTTAGCAGATATTGAACTAATAATTAGTCATTCTTTGGTTTTTCCTTTCAAAATAAAAGCACAAAAATGTTTTTTTTTTGTTTCTGTTTTTAAAACCTGAATGTAAAAACATAAAATTGAACCAATTAAAAATCCACAGTGTTGAATTTTTGCTCCAAAAATCTAAATTCAAAATACTTTACAGAAACTGCATTTCCTGTGAAAATGCAGTGTGAAGGCTTCGTGCCTAAAACAGCTTAAAGGAAGCTGAAATGAGCTCTTTATTTTGAAGAGGAAGAACCAAAGAACGACCCACATGGGCTGAGGTGAGATGTGTTTCTACTTTTAGTTTCTTCTGTTGTGGTTCTGATCAGGATCTCATCACAGTGTAAACAATAATTAAATAAATTAGACCAAGAAACAAATAAAAGCAGAATTCATTGAACCGTTTGATCAGTGATTTACGGCACGTCATGTTTTTCCAGAACAGCGCCCTGGCTTCAGTCATCGTGGCTCTGATTCAGGTTGTTTTTACGGCCATCGCAGCTCTGATCATGGACAAGGCCGGCAGGAAAATCCTCCTCACCATCTCAGGTATCCTGTGTCTTTAAACGCATCGCTCCAAAGGAACAAGGAAAATAAAAATCTAACTTTGACTTCTGAACCAAGAGATTTGGTTTTGTCTCATCACTTTTTGTTTGTTTAGTTTTTGCACTCATTTTACTAAAAAAATGTTTTCACAACAATTTAGAGCACATGTGTCAAACTCAAGGCCCGCGGGCCAAATCTGGCCCTCGTTAACATTTTATCTGGCCCTAAAGGTAATATACAGCTGCTGGTCATAAAATTAGAATATCATAAAAAAGTTAATTTTATTTCATCCATCCATCCATTTTCTGTACACGCTTCTTCCTTTTCAGGGTTGCGTGGGTCACTGGTGCCCATATCCAGCAGTCACAGTGCGAGGGGCGGGGTACACCCTGGACAGGTCGCAAGTCCATCACAGGGCCACACATAGAGACAAATGAGACAAACAAGCATTCACTCTCTCACTCACAGCTAGGGGCAATTTAGAGTTATCAATTAACCTAACAGTCATGTTTTTGGTCTGTGGGAGGAAGCCGGAGTACCCGGAGAGAACCCACGCATGCACGGAGAGAACATGCAAACTCTACCCAGAAAGGTCCCCGGACCGGGATTTGAACCGGTGACCTTCTTGCTGAGAGGCATCAGCTCTACCAACTGAGCCACCGTGCCGCCCTGTAAAAATTTTATTTCAGTAATTCCATATATTATATTCATTTATCACACACAGACTGATATATTTCATATGATTATTTCTTTTAATTTTGATGATTATAACCGACAACTAATGAAAACCCCAAATTCTCTATCTCAGAAAATTAGAATGTTACTTTAAAAATACAAAAAAGGATTTTTACAAACGTTAGCCAACTGAAGTATGAACATGGAAAGTAAGAGCATATTTATTTATTTATTTATTTATTTATTTTTCCTGGAGGGCGGCACGGTGGCTCAGTTGGTAGAGCTGATGCCTCTCAGCAAGAAGGTCACCGGTTCAAATCCCGGTCCGGGGACCTTTCTGGGTAGAGTTTGCATGTTCTCTCCGTGCATGCGTGGGTTCTCTCCGGGTACTCCGGCTTCCTCCCACAGACCAAAAA